CCCCCCCCCCCCCCCCCCCCCACCCCCCCCCCCGCTAGTAAAATTTGTCATATAATCGAGACGATAACAATATCATATTTATCGCTCTGAACATAGTTGAAATATTTTTGATCAAAAGTGCTAGTTCAACTGAACAGTTTTCTTATCAATAAAAACTTTGAAAAGTTATCTATGAATCTGATTATATTATATTAACGATAGTAAATGTTCATTTTGTTTTTTTTATTTTGATAGAGTTATAGACAAGAAGCACCAAGCACACCACCTCATATAATTCTTCATTACTGTACATTTAAAACTGTTTGGGATTGGGCAATACTTTTATTAACATTTTACACATCATTGCTTGTACCCTATCATGCAGCATTTAAAAGTAAATCATTAGATGATGTGCCTTTACTTGTTATTGATAGTATTGTCGATGTTATTTTCTTTATTGATATTATATTAAACTTTCATACAACATATGTACACACAAGTAAGATATTGAATTCTATTTGAATCTTTTTAAAATCTTATTTGTTATTTTCTGTTTATTTTCTTCTGAAAAGAATCTGGAGAAGTCATATCGGATCCGAAGCGCATCAGAAAAACATACTTGAAAAGTTGGTTTGTTATTGATTTATTAGCTTGTTTACCATACGATGTATTTAATGCATTTCAAGAAGCTGAAGAAGTAGATTTTATTTATTAGAATGAATTGCGTTTTTCCTTTTCGGATTTTTTTTTCTGATTGATATATTTCAGCGATATGGAAGCATATTTTCAGCATTGAAAGTTTTACGTTTATTACGTCTTGGCCGTGTCTTTAGAAAATTAGATAATTATCTAGAATATGGTGCGGCCGTACTTTTATTACTCATTTGTGTTTTTGTACTTGTTGCTCATTGGTAAGAAAACGAGAGCTAAAGAAGACAGAATAAAGTTTCACATATTCTATTTAACAAGGTTTGCTTGTGTATGGTACACCATTGGATTTCGTGAAGGGCGTGGTGGTCCCGGAAAACGTGTATGTAAAACAAAATCTTAAATAGAAGTCTTGATTCATTTGAAAAATAAGCACAAACGCCTAGATATTATGTTATAATTTTATTTTTCTAGTAAAAATCTTAGAAAAGATGCATCGTGAGTTTTATTAATCGTATGAAATGGAAATAAGATATTCGTTGACAATTATTTTGAATAGAGAAAAATAAATATTGCCGTTAGTATTAGAATTTTTTTCGACTTTTTCCATGATTATGAAATTTAAAAAAATGAATAGTATTTTATAAACATTTTTGATAGAAAAAAACTCCTACGATCTAATATAAACTCTAATTATTAAAATAAACCAGGAAAAATTATTCTTTGCATTTTTGTTTACATTTAACTTTTTGTTGTTCTTTGAATAGATGGAATATAGTTGGCTTGTAAAAATGGATCGAGAATTACATTATGCATGTATTGATTCCTATGGTAATCTAACAGCATATGAATCCAATGGTACATGTCGAAAAGCAGCTTATGTTACAGCACTTTATTATACCATGAGTTCATTAACAAGTATTGGCTTTGGTAATGTCGCTGCTAACAGTGACAATGAGAAAATCTTTACTTGTGTTATGATGCTTATTGGTTCACTTCTTTATGCAACTATATTCGGTAATGTAACAACTATATTTACACAGATGTATTCCGCTACTGCTCGATATCATGAAATGTTAAGTAGGTATGTTATCATGAGTAGATATGTTTTGTTGCTATTTTGATTTAATCATCTTGTTTAATATAAAGTATTCGAGAATTTATGCGTTTACATGGCATGCCTAATCAATTAAACGAACGTATTATGGATTATGTTGTATCAACATGGGCAATGACGAAGGGTATTGACGCAACAAAAGTATTAAATTATTGTCCAAAAGATATGCGCGCCGATATATGTGTTCATATGAATCGAAGTGTTTTTAACGAACATCCAGCATTTCGTTTAGCTAGCGATGGTTGCTTACGTGCCTTAGCTGTTCATTTTCATAAAAATCATTCTGCACCTGGTGATATGCTATATCATTGCGGAGAAAGTCTTGATATGTTATGTTTTATTGTATCAGGCTCATTAGAAGTTATACAAGATGATCAAGTATTAGCTATACTTAGTGAGATATTTTGTTTTTATTCTTTCGATCTTATTAACATAGGTCTTGTGCTTTCTATTTTGTTCTTAGGTGCAAATGATGTTTTTGGTGATGATTTTTGGAGTAAGAATCGAGATAGTGTTGGCCAATCGGCAGCTAATGTTCGTGCATTAACATATTGCAATATACATCAAATTCGACGTGCTCATCTACTTGAAGTATTAGAGTTTTATCATCCATTTAGTATATCATTTGCTCGAAATATGGTGCTCACATATAATTTAAGACATCGTGTAAATGCTTTAAACTTATTCATTGATTCCTAGAATGTTTGATGAATCTTTTTTTTTTCGCTTTAATTTAGGTTGTTTTTCGTAAAATAGCTGATGTTAAACGTGAACGTGAATTAGCTGAATCAAGGAAAAATGAAGGATTAGATCAAATAGGTTCTGATCATCCAGTACGAAAGTTAATATCAAAATTTCGTAAAATATCACAAGAAAATCGTGCAGTAGCGCTAAATAATACTAGTGCACCAACACCACCGACAACATCAGTTAGTCAACCAACTCAACAAGCATCACCACCATCATCAATAAAAATCAGTGGACAACAGACAAGTAGTGAAGTAACTGATTCTACAACGAAAACAAATACTACATCAATAATAGCACCACATTTACAATTACCTTCATCATTAACATCAAAAACTCGAGATAAACTTGAAACTATTTCTGAACGTATTGAAACTCAAGAATCACAAATATCCCAAATAGTATCACTTCATCAAAGTCCACCATTACAACGACCACCACGGTCGAGTAAATGGAAATGGTTAAAAACAGGTTCAACAGGACCCGAAACAGAGCCACTAGAAAAAAAACCTGATGCAAATATAAAACCATTCCAGCAGCAATCAACCAACCCATTTGATTCAAATTTAACTGATGAAGATTTACATGGAAAATCAGATGGTATGGGTGAACGACGACCATCTATTCCCCTTAGTTTATTTATACCGAGGGCAGCCAAAGACGATAGTACAAAAGTAACAGAGACCAGTAACGATGATCAAGTAAGATATTTTTTTCTAGTTTTAAAAACATATTCGAATAAAAATCTTTTCTCCTCTATTTCTAAATAGAAACACTTAGATGAATCTCATTCTGATATAAATGAAGCATTTGGACCTCTTCGTAGTGTATCATCATCATTTGGTGAACATCCATTAATATCATCATTGCTTGATATAAAAAATGATTTAGGTAATGAAGTACGAGCATTGACAAAACGTATGATACATATTGATGAACAAATTAGTCAAATTTTTAATTTTCTTTCACCCTGTCATCTATCAATAACTAATAACTCACAACAAACATCAAATATAACTCAACCTTTATTAATTCCATCTCAGTCTTCTTTACTTTCACCACCACCATTGTTATCATCATCCTCATCCTCATTATTATTAAATACTACAACGACTCCTACTGAAATTAATGTTACTACTCATAACTTTCCGCAAATATTAGAAGCACCTTCAGTGCATTTAGATGCAAATGCAAACATTCCAATTTTTAATTCGAATCGATCATTATCACCGACAAATGACATACAAGATGTGCCTACACAAGCAGAAACACATGACTCACCATTGTCAACTTCAACAACAAGTGAAATTAATGAGTATTATTCAATTCCATTTCCTATTCCACCGCCACCTTCTATTTATAATCGTTCAGCTAGTTCATCAGTTGTTAGCGTAGGCACATCAACAGCTCCACGAAGTTCCATATCGAATAAAGTAGTACCAACATCATTGTTACCCGCGTCTGCTAGCTCCAAAAACCCATTGAACACTAGCTTTCGACCGATTTCAAATACTCGTTTTAATCCAGGTCGTTCTCCGAAGTCAAAAGCTCGTTCACATCAAAATCGATCTTATACCAAACATCAACAACAAACTGAAAAATCAACAATTATTGAACTTGAACCCTCAACACAGAATGATACAACGAATAAAAATGTACCACTTTTTTCCACATTTTCGTCAACAACAAAATCTGGTAGTAGGGCATTCCGTCGTTTCATAACAGGTAGTAGTAATGCAGAGAAAGCTGCAACATCATCATCGTCAACACTTCTTTATCCGCCTACAAGTGACGATGAACATCCAATAAGTCCGACTAGTTCAGGCAATGATGATGATGATCATAGGCCATTGACTTCATCGTCAAATAAATATCATCATCAAACACTTCTTTGATTTCAAAATAAAATTCTGTTTTCTTCTCCTTCTCTTTGTCTCATGGCTTCATCTCAGATAGGTGAATCGATTTAGTTTATTTGTAGTATTGTGATATGAATATTTTCTCTTGAATATTTTCTACCTTGATTTTGTACACGTTCACCGGTGCATATTTTTCTTTGTTTTTTTCCTCTATATGTTTGAATGTGTTAACTGGTCGATCTGTTACGAAAATTTTCTTTTAATCACACATGTCCTAAATTTTTACTACGATTATTATGTTTTGCTTCGATGACAATATGTGTTTTGAAATAAAAATATTAATAATGATGTATTTTGTGGAATAGGTAGATGTTTCTATTAAAATAAAGTCTTTATCGTTATTAACTTATTTCTAATAGAAAATAATGGTTCTAATGAAAAACAAAATATCGAGATTACTTAAAAGTTTGAGAAAATGTTGTAATTTAAACTTTACCAAAATAAAAACAGAATAGTTCCTAAGGACTTTTGCCCATGTGTTGCAATATCACTAAAACGTTGCTCATCTTAATTTTGTTTATGTATTCAAATTATAGAAGAAATTATGAAATGTTACCATTAACTGATTATGATCAAATGGATCATTGAAATATTAGTTCTTCCTACTTTCAATTTTTTCATTGTTTTTTTTCAAGTTATTTTTATTATTATTATGTTTGTTTTGAAATTAAAAGCGATATATACTAATTATGTACACTTGGATATTCAAATGAAACGTTTAGTTTAACATCTTTCGATCATATTTATTTGAATAAAATATAGAAGTATACATATTTATGTATTTATAGATTTGAAAGAGTTTTACATGGATAATACAGGACGAAAATACAGACATAAGCAGAATTATTTGCTTTTGTGTTTTGTTTTTGTTGCTATAATCATTCAATAAAATACATATAGGTATGCACGGTTTATGCAGTTGAATATAACTATAAAAAATATAGATACATTTTTATTTAATTATTTCACAGAACTTACAGGATCAAAATCGATATCAATCATGGAATGAATAGGATCATCCAAAGCATCGTCAACATACTTGTCAGCAGTTGTCTATTACAGAAAAAGCAAAAGTTTTTAGTTTTTCATAAAACATGCAACATGACTGCATACGTGTTTTGCATCTAATGAACGATTTCCACCTTTATTTGATTTAGGATGTCCATATACTTCAAGTTGTGATACCATAGTATCAATCTAAATCAATACAATTAAGAAAGATTCGTTCTTTAATAAATCATTGTTACTATACCTTAGTTAAAACAAATCCAACCGATGATTCCATTGAATCAAGTCGTTTAGTTATATTGTCAAATTCTTGAACGGTAACTTCTTTTGCTTTTACATTTTCTGAAGGTGCATCCTTATTTTCATTATTCTCATCATCATCAATAATAGGATTTTTTATTGGTTTACTAAAGTTAAAATCATTTTATAGAATTTGTTATGATTCATGTCTACGCTAAATCTTACGTGCTCTTAGTGGTCAATTTCAATTCATCCATTTCTCGAAGAATAGCATCATTTTGTTGTAACAAATCATCGCTCAATGCTTGTTGTTCTTCTTCATCTAAGATCCGATCACCGTTTTTATCATATTTTGAGAACATCGTTTCAATCTCTGCTTCAGCATAACCACGGGATTTCATTTCTTGACGCCATTCTTCGAATTCCAAGCGTTTATCCTTATTAATATCAGCCAATGATAACGCTTTTCGAATATCGGCAATACGATCACGTTTATCAGTTAAACGATCACGCATTTTAGCATAACCTTGTTTAACAAAGTCACTTATTTCAAAGCTACTTTTTTTATCTTGTAATTCAGCTTTAACTTCCTGATATGTATCATTGATTATAGCCAAAAACATATTTAATAATACGAAGAAGACGAAAAATACGTATGTTAAGAAGAAAATTGGTCCTATTTTAATACAATTATTTTTTCTAGTAATAAAAACAAAAGTTTGATTGATCTCTTACCAATCATACGATGAGCTTGTTGAAGTGCTGGAAAATCAAATGTACCCAATATGACCAAAAATAATGTATACCTAAAACAATTACAAACACATACGTATATATATATATATAGTAGACAATCCTAGTGTTGACAACAAATATTCAATAATATTTTCAGAAAAATCTGAAAATCTATTTTCTATGGGAAGATTTCAAGTTTACCTAAGCCTAATCTTTTTTTTATAATTTTACTCTGATATTATGCAAATACATCGAATTGAATTAGACTAGCTTCTTTTCTTTAAAATAATGTAAACGTTTTTAATGCACTTTCATTAGTATACAAAAATTTGAAGAAATAGATAATTTTCTATGAATATTGTAAACAAACTTATAGTTTTTCTAGGTTTTAGATCAACATTCGAAAAAGATCTGTTTCTTGAAAACCTCAAGTCTTACAATAGAATCTCAAGGAAATAGACATTTTGAAAATTCGATAGCTAAAGTGAAGCTTAATCGGAAAATAACCTAAAGAGATTCTCTGGTAAGAAAATAATCTTTTGTTTCTTCCTACAAAAATAAGATTTTCACTTACACTGAGTAATGAAATGCTCGAAAGCCTTCTATTTGAATTCCAAAAGTTAAATATCCCAATTGTGCAAAAGCAAAAAATACAATAAAAAACATAATTGCAAAACCCGATATATCCTTGGCACATTTTGTCAATGTTTCACTCAATTGTGTCATTGTTTTATTAAAACTAATATATTTGAAGAGCTAAAAATATAAAACTAGAATAGAAATATATAAACACCAGCATACGTACTTTAATCCAAGCAAGGAAAAGTGTCGTACTAACGACATTGTTAAATTGATATTGCCAATAGCAAAGAAATGAAAAATCATTATATTGTCTTGTTTTTTTTTCCAATAATTTATCTAGTAAATTATTGACTTGTACTTGTCGATAAATATTAAATGCCATACAAATATAAGATAAAACAATAACAATAAGATCCAAACAATTCATAACCGATGTAAAATATGCCGATTTCATAACCACAATCTTTAAAATAGTATCGAAAAAAAAATTTAACGATTTGCAACAAACAAAGAAAACAAATCACTAATTTACCTCTAAGGCTTCTTCAATTGTGTAATAAACAATAAAGAGTAGAAATATAATTTCACAAGATAATACAAAATAATCGAATGCACTAGCATAACGAAGAAGTTTAACAGGACGAATCTTTGATGATGTTACAAGACCACCAACAGGCGGAAATTCTACCATAAGTCTATACATGTCAAATAATTCTTTAACTGCTTTAACCATTAGAATAATATTGAAACTTACTGTACTTGACAAAATAAATTAAGATTAGCATTGTAGACTGTAAAATCAATGATAATGACACGAGTACCCAGTGTAATCCAAAGACTATTGAAGTAAAATATTAAAGTTGAAAACAACAAATCATATGGATGAGATACGACTTCGGTATAATGTGAACTAGGTATGTTTTAATTCAATATATATATATAAGATCATCATTATATCGGATGTAGATGTTACAGAAAGAAGGTCGACATTGTCACTCATAGACTTTACAAATTTTTGCTTTTGACTTTCCTACGGTTAATTTTCATTCTAGAATCCAATGATTTGCATAGATGAAGTTAATCTATACAAATGCTTAATTCATAATCTCATTCCTATATCTTGATGTATACATTCGGACAAAAAAGGTAGACTCTGTAATGTAGGTCGTATGATAGATCAATTCACATTATGTCAAAATGTAATGAACATGTATCAAATTCTTTAAATAATAAGATGAAACTAGAGCTTTTCAGAGTCGAAAAAACACTTTCAGATAGTTCGTATGGATTTTTGGAAAAAAAAACAGTTTATATGAGAACGAATCGATGACTATGAAATAGTTTGGTAAAATCAGATGACTCTTACTTATCTTTAAGTTCGTTTACTTCTCTTTTGAATTCTTCTTGTGATGAACCAAATATTTTCATAAAGCCCCCTTCATCATAAACACCCACTTTTCCAGTTGTACTTGAACGAACTATTGAATTATGTGGTGTATATTTAAATCTAGATAAGTTTTTAAAACAAATAGAGTTGTCTCATTCATAACAAAAGAATGATTCTTACGGATCTTCAGTACAGTTTTCAGCTTCTAAATTTGCACAAGGTCCGTATGAGTATTTGTCTTCAAATGCTGGTGCATACGCATTGTAACAGAATTTTATTTCCTGTCTAAAGTCTTTTGCAACAGTACATGAATTATTTCGTACTTTTTTTTGACGCATTCGAACAGCACCCAATAAGCGATTTTCATGTAGAATATAACCATAATTGCTAACGTTACGTGCATTGTACCAATTTTCCGTGAACAGACCAGAAGGAACAGTTTGCGTCATATACTATCAAATAGAAAAGTGATTGCTACTTTATAACTTTTATTAGTGTTTTTATTTCTTACGTCCCAGAACTCTTCCATTCGAGTCAGTTCCGTAAAAGATGGGCCTGTGCTGTTAGTTGATTCATCAAGCATATTTGAGTCAACAAAGACACCTTTTAATGCTTGTGTAAGTGTGTGCATATTACTACTGACCATTCCAAAAACGACTAAAAATTAAAAATTAAAAGGTTAGAATGTTTTTACAGATTTCATTTTTACCGATAGTCAAAACACCTAGGAAAACCATGTAAATAAAAAGTTCACGAAGCGTTGTTCGTACATATTTCTCATTATCTTCTTCGATATCAATTTTTTCAGTTTGTTGTGTTGCCCAAAGTTCTTCAACATTATTAAACAGTAATTTTTTGTAAAATACAAATACACAAAAAAAAAAAAATCTTTACTTCGAATGAACCGTAAAAGTTGTTTGCATGAATATTTTTTATGTTGACGCTCTTTCACCCTATATGCTCCTTGCTCTCTTTGATCAATAACCATTCCATCAGCATATAATGTACCGTCAATGTATACTTCTTTTTCTTTACTATTCGGTATTGCATTAGTAAAAGCCAGTGATGGTTGTACACGACATGAGTGTTGTTCCAACACCATGATTTTTAATGTCGAACTTTTTCTTAGTTGGACTGTTCAAGAAATGACAATATACGAATACTTGTGTTTTTCTCGATTAAAAAAAACAAGGAGAGAAACAACACTTAATTTTCTATCGACGTCATATCATTTCCTTTTTTTTATACTCTGGGTTGTCCCAATAGACTAGAAAATAAAATATGCTGTACTGAACAAGTAGGTAAGAAAATAGATATGCGAATACTAATGGGAAAAAAACATAAAAGTGTGTTGCTAGAAAAGAAAAAATTCTGATACCAGTACGTTGGCAGATGTATGTAATTTTTAATAGCAAAATTGTGTGCAAAGAAGTCCAAATAGTAATCAAACTAGTATGTATGAAACATGGCAACACCAGTAATTATCAAAGGAATTGCGTTCTTGGTTATATGACAAAAATGAACGACCTATGAAAATAATATAAATATATTATATGAAATTGTTAAAAGAATCGATTTCATTAGATTAAACTAAACAGTATCAAAATAATTCAATGTGTTTCTATAGACAGTAATTAAAAATAAAGAATTTGAAAGTTTTCGTGTACAATATATGTTTTTGATATTATTCGTCAGTGTTTCACTTGACTATCTGGGAAAGTTAAAAACAATTGAAAAAAAACACTGCATTGGTCGTTTTCATTAGTATGATAAAAAAAAAACATCGAATACGATGAAATATTATTTAGCAGTGATTAAACTTAGACACTTATTAATAGAGTAGAACTTTCATTTAGTGAATATCTTTCTCTATTTTTTTAAGTGTTCCATGTAGAAAGTTTTTCAAAACATAAGGTTTCCCTTAGAATCCATACGCTCTTCTTGCTGCTTCAAGTGCAACAATGATTAGAATTGAAAATTGGAAACAAAAATATGCAATGGAGGTGATGGAGCGAACGCAAGAAGATCTATTGTCGAAAAAGAAACTAAAAAATTAGGCGGTCAGTACAGAGTAGAGATGAGGCACACCAGAAGTTTTTCTAGCATGTCTCATGAATGCAGTCGATCTTCACCATGAATGGTAGTTGGATACAACAGGACACCAGACCCGTCCTATGGCGTTTCCATTCGTTGTACGTTTTAAAAAAGAGATTCCTTTTTAATTTATTCCGGTTAAAGTTCATGTTTTCAAAAATAATGACAATCAAGATGAATCTCACTCAAATTATCAGCATTCGTTTTACATCTTTTCGTGGGACTAACCATATGAATATGTGCATACGGTTGAGCCATGTGTAAATTTTTCTGCTCTCTCTCCTTTCGTCTGTATAACGACTGGACAAAAATTATGATATCATCAAACAATTAATAGTTTATTACAGTAGCTTCTTGCCAAGAGACACAACAGCAATGAAACATCTCTTCCTAAACCATTTTTACAAGTCCTTAAAATTGCTTTAAGATTGATATCCATTAAATAGAACTCCGATACGAGCAAAAATAACTTCGTGAGACCGCGAAGCGCCAACTATAGAAGTTTTAAACTACATTCAATACAATAAATCACGGATGAGTAATGCTACATGATTGTGTGGTATAAAACCAAAGCTCTAAACCTTTCCTATGATGATATAGTGAAGAACTATCCATGGCAAACGAAGATTCTCGGCAATGATCAATCAGAGTAACCTACTGAAAAAAAAGGTCCTAGCTCGTTACAATGTTGAGTATCGATCATTTTCGTTTGTTTGCTCAGCACCCTATTTTCTGTCGTTGTTACTTGTATTTCAAAGCTTATTTTTAATAGTCTCAAAACGAACTTTTGATATTATTTTCAGGGACCCAATCACCTATATCTTTTGATTAAAGCATATAAAATTTCAAGTAATTAATAGTAACTTTTACCTACATAGGTGGTCGTAAATGATACAGATGAAATTTTTTTGCATTTAAAAACGAAGCAACTCAAAAGAATCTTCTGATAATTGTAATTCTTGTCTTTTAAGTAGTAAAAGCTAGTTGAGTTGAGCAAGTCGAGATGACAAAGTGATAGATATTTTAGTACAGATTCTAAGCAACAGATACCAGAATGTTGTATACTCGCCGTTACAAAAACTAAATTCAAACAGTGATGCGAAATACAATAAATAACTTAAAAATCTGATTGCCTACTAATTTTCAGTTCTTACTCTTTGAAGAAACATAATTTTTACCTATAGAAATCAATTATATTCATTTTTCAAATTAAATCAAATCTGTGTAATAATACTAAATTCAATATTTAAACACCAACGCTTAGTCAGGGTAAAAAATTAATCTTCTCAAGTTTCAAAAGCAGAATGAACTCAATAGTCTGCATTCAATCAATGGTATACATGAAAATACGATAAGAAACAATGAATGATCATCAATCGTTATATATTGAGTAGAAGTCACGTGTAATCATCAAGAATGATACACTAAAAGTGAAACAAGAACCAACAATACAGAATGAACAAAAATAATTTCGATAACGATGGCATTCATATGCTGAACTTTTGACATTAGTCGAACAAGAAGAAATCATATATCATGCAATTTTTTTAACCATGAAGCTCATGTGAAAAAAGTGACCCGCATGATCATATAGCATTTAATACAAAAGAATCGATGAGTGCATGTATTGAACAGTTGCTGCTTTTCGTCATTCTGTCAATTAACTATCAATATTCTGATTCGTTTTTAAATGATTAGATTTAAATAGCAAATCAACAAGAGATAGCTAGTGAAGTGATCACTTCTTGTCATTTGATTATTTGGTAGCATTTCTCTAGTCAGTATAGAGAAAGAAAATTTACGATCAGAGACGTACACAAGACATAATTTTATTTCCTGTATTGCCTGTCGTGTTGGCTACCTTGGTCCTGGCGAGCGACAGGACAGGACAAAAATCGAAACCTTATCCTGTGCGTGTTTGCCCTGTTGGTAATCTTCGTCTTGGCCGGCGACAGCACAGGGCACTAGGACAACAGAATCGTCCTGCCTTGTGCACGTCTCTATTTGTTATTACAAGACTTCTTTTTTATTTTCTTTAGTTTCATCGAAAAAAAGAAAACTTTTTTTTTAAACAATTATATATATATATATTCTATGTGAAATGTTCACAGAATATTTTCTAATACAGATTGAATCTCATATTTACTTTCATTAAACTAGCTCCGGAAGACTTTATTTAATTAGCAGGTTTGCATCCGTTGAAATGAGCCAATTTAATTTCTCATGTGTTGTAGCATACATCATGTGTTAATTATTTCCTGAGGTTTCACAATATACTAAATAGATCAAAAGAAAAGATTAATCCTACAAATTTTTAATTATTTGTTCACGTTTAAACAAATGAACTTTTTGTTCTATCATCTAGCGCCATCTGTCCTATAGAAGCAACAATGGTTACAGTATGCAACATGAGTCGTTCATGATTCAGTCGATGATATAGCAGAATGTCATCCAATCAAACGTTTTATAAGCGACGCGTCACGTCTCTAATTCAAGAGTATACGCATATAACTATGAATTTAAAGTATTTATAAGTCGAAGAAAAAAAACAAAATATTAATAATAAAAAATACTAAAAATTTGATCTTACTTTTAATCATTGTTGTTGTTGTTGAAGATAATATTAGTTGCAATTCATAGCAATAAAATGACTCGGGAAGATGAATATGATTATCTATTTAAAGGTGAGACATTTTGAATTCGAAAAAAAAACTCAGAATTATCACGTCAAATTTTGACTTTATCTAGTGGTGCTCATTGGAGATTCAGGTGTTGGAAAGAGTAATTTACTATCACGTTTTACTCGCAATGAATTTAATTTAGAAAGTAAAAGTACTATTGGTGTCGAATTTGCAACACGGTAAAAAATAATCTTTTGTTTATGTTTGTCAATATATCGCTTTCCTTTCTTTTCCAGAAGCATTCAAGTTGATAAAAAAACAATCAAAGCACAAATATGGGATACAGCTGGACAAGAACGGTACCGTGCAATTACTAGTGCGTAAGTTTTCTTGTTGACATTGTAAAAGAATTTTATTTTGATAAAAAATTTAAAAAAATGAATAGATATTATCGTGGCGCAGTTGGCGCTTTACTTGTTTATGATATAAGCAAACATAATACATATGAAAATGTTGAAAGATGGTTAAAAGAATTGCGTGATCATGCCGATTCAAATATTGTTATTTCACTGGTGGGTAATAAATCTGATCTACGGCATTTACGTTCGGTACCAAGTGATGAAGCTAAATCATTTTCTGGTAAATATAATAAAACGGCAGTGTTTATCTAAATTAAATTCTTTATAAATCTTAGAAAAAAATGGTGTCTCATTCATTGAAACATCAGCATTAGATTCAACCAATGTTGAACAAGCATTCCATACAATACTAACTGGTATATTCAATGTTGTTTTACTGCGTAGGACTTTATTGTTTATATGATTTTATTTTTTAGAAATCTATCGTATTGTTTCTCAACGTCAAATTCAAGATCATATTGGACCTATTTCACCGAATCCTCCAATTCATCTGCCACCAACAGATCCGGACTTTAAATCAAGACAGAATCCAACATGTTGTTCGTAGATGATGCTTTTTCTTTTCGTTATCATTAATCAATCATTTAAAAAAGTTGATCAGCTTCTTTCTTTCTTTCTTTGTTTCTTTTCATCATGTAATTGAATTCTGTTTTACATGTTAATCGTCTTTGATTATCACAAATTTTTTTGTTTCTTATCACTTGTTCACTTTTTCGAAGAATAAAATAACAACAATTCATATGATGTTCTAATTTAATTATTATCATAAGCGTGAATTCTTTGTTTTTCTTATCCCTACGCATGACTGTGAATTTTTCTTTCGACGAGTAGCTGATTTTTTTATTTGCCTATTTACTATTCTTAAAATTTGCCCCACATTCATTTTCTTTTCTTCACTTTTGTCTACTTGCAAATAAACAAAATATAGCAATAAAACATTATGTTGAATGAACGAATCATTTTGAAAATAAAAATACTAATAAATTTTCCTGTATACTTTGTTTATAGGAATCTCAAATATGACAACGGGAGATTTGATTCCATCACTGGTAGTTACCGAATTAAATTATTTTTTAATTTAAATTATTTTGTAAGTTGTGTACTTAGTAAGAGTTGATACATCAAAAGAAGAATGATATAACGGCCATCGATTATATGAAATATGAAGGAAGTGCCGATTCACATCTGACAAAAGTAGAACTTTGCTATATTAAACAAAGTGCACTGCTTTTTAAAACACGAACTAAACTTGTATATAGTTGATCTTTTTTATTAAACATAATCAATTGTCTTTCTAATAGTATCTAATGTATTTAAAGAATATGATCGACAAGACAAATAGGCAATGTCTTGTTTGATAAGAGACAAAGAAGTAAGTGTTATTTATGATATAACCAAAACTATTACTATTTTTCAAATAAATGATACAAGTATTATATTCGAGTTCCTCGAATAGATTAATGCTAGAATAAGTGTTATCGTATCTGTTTCACACATCTTCCCAATATTTGTCGTGTACTCTACTGCATTGAAATAGCTGGTAGTCTATTTTAGTGATCGATTAATACTCTAGGCAGTTCCATGAATAAGATACTAATGTTATTCCAATAGTATATGAGAAAACTTTTCAAACACAAATTACAATATCGGCTGACCTTTCATTACAATACATCCTAAAGCAAAAGGAAATTTTTGTGAAAATATTTCGAAAATTATTTCCATTATGCCAGAAAATATCAGCAATTAGAAAACCTATTTATCATAAGATACAGTCAAGAACGAAAAACAATACTCTGGAATGTTTTTCATATTCAGAAAATCCAATTGTAACCTTGACACAATCATTCATATACAATACAAGTGGAAAGAGTTAAAAATTTTGTTTCTTAAAATATGTCACTTTTATTTATCTTTATTCACATGCAATTCTTTTCCAGAAATGATGAGATCTAATACAAAAAATGTCATCTTTTTCTCAATCACAGAAAATGAAATGCCAATCAATTCATTGAGTCTCATACACAAAGATTGTCTTAATAGCGAAGGTGTTACAAAAAGAGAAAAAAACAGATAGTTCACTCTTCAAGAACAAAAGAGATTGTTCGGATGAAGATGTATTCATTCTGGATTACGTCTTTTACTTTTTCAATTCTATTACAAGTGTCGTCGGTAATGTTTTTTTTTTTATAAAAAAAGAGTCATTTCAACTGTAATTCATGTTAATATGAATCGTCTGACCATCACTCTTATACCCATAAATTTACTACTCTGTGAAAACAAATTTAAACAAAAAGCTCTTTTTTTGTTAAAATAAGCTTAAAAAATTAAGATATGATCCATATAAGTCAATTGTGTTTAAAACCATGATTACTGTTGAACGTTTTATTTGTCCTTGTATACATTGGAATAAAACTTATATAATGTCAAGCTGACTAAGCCAATCATTACATTTTTCTTGATATGTATTCGTTGATAATTTCGATGATTTATCAACAGTTAAAAGTAAACATCCATCATTAGTTATTAATCGATTGTCTGCTTTAGAATACGGTGAATGGTATCCACTTTCTGAAAGATCAAAACAACTTTCATATAATGAATAACGTGACGATGAACCACCAGGAGAATGAATACCATTATTTGGATCAAGTAAATTAATAATCATATGGATTTTATTGGAAAATGATTGAAAATAAAATGATTTGTCATGGGAAAGAAAACTTGTTGGATATGAATGTGAACGAGTAAAGAAATTTTTCAAGCGATTTGATGACGACGAATAATGAATAGTACCAGATAAATCTTTATAGGCTTCCCCATGATTTGGTAAACTTAAAGAGCGTGATACAGATTTTTTTCTCGACGATGATGATGTTGTTGTTATTGTTTTGATTACTTCTTCATTTTCTTCTGATGAACAATCATCAATAACCAACATAGGCATAGGATGAGTTGAACAAATATTAGTTGCCATTATCTATCGATAGAAATAAATGTTAAAAGCAGTTAACCACATCTTGTTAGCTTTTAGGATATGTTCGCTGCTACTATAGCAGATTTCCGTACTTTTTTGTCGTCTGTAAATAGTAACAAAAAGGTTATGTTTCTCATTAAGTTCTATTGTAAGCCAGGAATTCCGTGAGGGTTCTTTAAGTTGGTTCAATAGAATTTATATAGAATATGTTCTGAATTATGACTCAATGTCATTCTGTTATTGTTTTGAATAACAAAAAACTAAAGATGTTCTTCTATTAATAAACCAGTGAAAGGGAAAAAAAGAAAATTTGATCTATAGCTTTGATTTTACTAACTCTGATAGGTTCAAATAACATATTTTGTATTCATCATCGCTCAGCTATACTTATCAATTTAAGTCAATTATAGTGACAGTTCCCGATGGATTCTTGCTTGTTTTCTTTTCCTTCTATTTGCTCTTCCTTTTTTTTTGAAGTCCGATTGTTGATTATTGTAGTTTTCTCTTGACAAGAGAACGCGAACGAAGAAAAAAAATAGATTCTCATCTTGAATGTGCTCGCTGTCATTCAAAAATGTATTAATATATGGAATATATTAGTAAAAAAAAGCAGCACTCTCGGATGTTTGGATTTTCGAAGAAAAGCACGTGTTTATTATTGTTGGAATTGTTTTCTAGATAATAATCTACATCCAGCTTTAAATTAGTCAATTTTTAATGATCAGTCTGACGGAATAATAAAATAGAAATGTTATTAATAATTACTATTTCAAATAGGAAAAAGAAAGATTTCTCTTGTCATTTAACACGAATGGTTAGATAATGTTTGCGTTCTTTTAGAAAATCGAATTAGTTTTCGTTCGGATAGCATGAGAAACATATTTTCTACTAACATATCTGCTTTTTGTGATAGCTAAATCAGATTATTACTAGGCAATATTTAGTAAAGAAGAGATTGGACAGAGTGCTTATATAAATATCTATGTCCAACGTCAGAAAGAATGCTAGAAACACATTCCAATGAAGTAAATTTTATTTTTAATCTAGGCAAGAGGCTTTTTTTTTTACAAAGAGATGTTTCTGAGATCAAAATAAAATAGCAAGCTGCGCATTCCTGATGAGTTTTTGTAGATTTTGTAAATTCTATCATATACCTTATCGAGATTTCGCTAATGACAAATTCTGACTGATATTTTTGTCTTATAGAAAATGTACTACGGAAGAATCCACAACTTCCTTGCTTTAAAGTTCAACTGTGATTATTAGTAATATTTTGAAAATTGGAATTAGAATTTTTTCATCTCGGTTTCTAACTTTATAATGTCACTAAAATGTTACTACGATAAATATACTTTTTCTGCATGTAATAATTTTAGAAAAAAAAATATAATTTATTTTTTTGTTCTAAATCAATTTTATATGAAATGAAAATGTGAATCAATATCCAATACATTCTGTTTAGTCAAAGAAAGTAGATGCTCCCTGGTGATCTAGTATTAACAGATAATAAACTAAGCCAATAGTATTATTATTGGATTTTCTTAATGGTATAGTATTTCGTGTCCTCTAATTACAAATGCACTCAAATGTGAAACGTAAATTTTGTCGTGCTACTTGAAATATTTATTTTTCTGTATAATAACTAAGCTTGATTTGCTATATTTATAACTCTGTTGTACTGCGCCATTTTTAAAAAATAGTTTTTTTTCCGAGTGCTCGATAATACAGACAACTTCCAGTAAGAGACTGTCAATAATTGCTAAGAGTGACTTGTCTCTTCACATCATTTGGACCTTGTCTTCTGTTTCACGAAAGCTATTCGTCTCTAATGAATTATTTTACTTTGTCACTTTTATTTTCTGTTTGCTGTGATATTTTTCTTTTACTTTAGCAGCTTTAACACAAGTAATCAATTCTACACTACATGGAACAAATATATTAGAGTTTTGTCTTACAACAGCAAACTGAACAGAAAAAAATTCATACATATTTTCAATAAAATAGTCTTGCGATTAAACTAATAGTTGAATTTAACAAATTTTAATACGCTATTCTTAGAAACCAAGTAGTCTATATTAACTGGAGGCATAGACTATAAAAATCTACTGATCTTACATAAAGATATTTGGCCTCAAAAAAGAAAAATGCGCTTCAGTAGTGTAAATAGAATCTTATGCGGAAGAAAGATCAAACCATGTTATCCTATACTAAGCGGAAAGAAAAGCTAGAGGATTTTAAATTCAATTATTTCATTAGAATCGGTACCCTTTTTTGGTTATTAGTTTTACATTTATACTGATTTTATTATTTCCGATGACTCTCTTGTCAAGGTTATGAGATTTTTTGCTTGTTTTCTTATGAGGCTTTTTTTTTATTGAAATTTATGTTTCTTTCTAGTAAGAATCTGTTAATATCACATATGAAAATCGTAATGCTCTATGCAGACAGTTAATTTCGATTGCTTAGTATATAATGTTAGGAAAGCATAAGTTGTCACAGACAAGGCAACATATTATAATACCTAAGAGAGAAGATTTCTGTGAATACCTATTCTATTTCGCTTGTTCGCTATCCTATTGAGACATCCAACGTTAATATAGTTGCCCTTAGTACCGTAGAATTGATTACTTACGTTAAAAAGAATGACGGAAAGAAGAAAAAAAAATGCCAACGAAGGCAGAAAATGTAACAGAAGAAGCGATGTGACTTTGCAGTGACGAACAACTTCTGCTCACGATGAAAGATTAGAAACAAAATGAAAAGAGGAAAACCATCCATACTAACATATATTAACTAGTACCAACTACTAAATTCACTCAAGTGCACGATCTGATGTACGCAGACTTGCTGTTCGTTGATTATATTTAAAAACATATCTCAGAATTAGTCTTTTTTTGTGTCCGAAGATTTACAATTCTTGTATAATTTGAATGCAGAGTACTCAGCAAAATTAGAAATTTCACTTTAGATCTATCTGTCCTGCCATCTACATAATCAGACTGGCTCAATAGTTCAAGTTCAAATAATGAATGGAATGTAAAGTCGCGTATATGAAAATGATGAGGATTATAATTATTATTGCATTAGCAGACAACAGATTGCGTAAATCCTATTTCACATCAAGTGAGAAAGAAGGAAATTTGCTATAACACTAATTACGGCTCTATTGAACATGTGATTGTTCTTCTGATAAAATACAATGAAGTTCAGAAATTTCAATTATCAATATCGAAGTATATCAAAAGAAAATTCGTAAGAAGCTCCATCGATAACTCACTATATGAAGAAAACTAGATGGTATTCAAGTTTTACTCGAATACGAAATGCGATGCGAAGCTCGAATCGGATCTTCACGAAAAATCTACGATTCAGAGAAATCTTGAATACATTTTATGTCGACATGATGAAATTCATCACTGAGAAAACTCGATTCTTACTTAGCGATACATTCCTAAGGATCGATTTCGATTGATCGATTAATTATCTCCATGATTCATTATCTTAGATCAGCTGTAAATGAAGTGGCTAACATATGCTCATGACGTCACTTTAATTATCTCTTAATAAATTTCTTTCATTTTCGTCATTTTGGAACCACATTTGTGAGTGAACAGAATATCAGATTGAAGAATAGAAAAAAAATGTCAAAAGTTCGATCTCGATACTTTCATCTCCCGTTTCGATGAGTTTTCTATGACTTTCTGTTCGCGAGATCATACAAACACAAAATGGCGATTCGCGATACGTACGTCGAGAAAGTAAAAGAAAAAACTCGTGATGGACTACATAAATGCTATTCTTCGCATCGCATTAAAAATGTCCAGAGTTGTAGTAAGTTGCTCAAAAAAGCCAGTAGAATTCATAAATAAGATATAAGAGCTATTTTTTTTATCAATGTTTCTGTAGAATTTTTTTCACCTTTTTTTATACACACGTATGTAAAATCAGACCGATTTGTTTTTTCTCAAGAGACAGATGAAATTTTCGAAATATACTGTAATATCATTCGCTTCTCTATAGTATATACATGGGAAATGTATCAAAGTTACTAATGATACTTATTTTGAACAAACAGAACATGTTTATGATCAATGTTATTTCATTTGAATTAATCAAATAATATAAAATTTACGTACCAATTTTTCTTGTATAATAATCAATGATATTTTTGGAGAATTTCATAGCTTTCGAAAATTTTAGTTTAAAAAAGAACTATAATTAAAATCGACCAATTTGATGTTGATTTTTTTCTATTATTTTATCCTATCACGAGTCAATTCTTTGTTAGTCTGTTTGTTTTTTTCCGTTTCGTATATTTCTGTGACATGCAATATCATGTAAGCTTCACACTTTATCATTTTGTTGAAATATATAATGAATTACATGCTTATAGCTTCCATTTATTTATTCATGAACCACAGATATTACACAGTTGGATGGAATACAAATAAAAGACGATAATTGACATTGCTCCGGCAGTATATGAGAAAGAAGGAAACGAACAGAAATAAAATATTCGAAATAGGCAAACAACAACAAGACTATAACAAGAGATGTTTCCATTTGTAACCGAAAAGACAAACAAGTATTGATGTACGATTGAAAACAAGAAGAAACTAGATGGTATTCGAGTTTCACTTGACTACGATATGCGGTGCGAAGCACACGAGCCGAATATTCGAAAGTAGTGAGAATAAGATTTTAAAAATAAATGATCCACTTTAAGATTCATTAGAATCGATTATTTTTTTTAAATTTCCGTATACGAATTTTGAATAAAAATTTCGCATTCACTATTCTTAAATCGACCATTTTGAAATTCATCACTAGGAAATCTCTCTGAAAATGTAACAACCAGTTGTCTAACGATTTTTTTCATTGAACGATTACTATTTTCATGAGTCATTATCTTCAATCAGATGTAAATGAATAGACTATAGTGGCTAACATATGTTCATGACGTCACTTTAATTATCTCTTGATAAATTTCTTTCATTTTCGTCATTTTGAAACCACATTTGTGAGTGAACGGAAGTTCATATGGAAGATTCGAAAACAGAGGTAAGCAGTTCGATGTGGATACTTCTATCTTACGTTTTAACGACATTTCTATGATTTTCGGTTCTCGAGATGATTGCGATACAAAATGACGAAAAAGATGCGTACGTCGAGAAAGTAAGAGAAAAAGAAAAAAAAAACTCGCGACGGACTACAAAAATGGTTCTGCTTCGCATCGCATTGAAAAGAACTCGCGACGGACTACATAAATGCTTCTGCTTCGCATCGCATTAAAAAAACTCGCGACGGAGTACATGGATGCTTCTGCTTCGCATCGCATTAAAAAAAAACTCGCGACGGACTACATGAATGCCGTGCTTCGCACCGCATTAAAAAACTAGATGGTATTCAAGTTTCACTCGAATACGAAATGCGATGCGAAGCTTGAATCAGATCTTCACGAAAAATCTACAATTCAGAGAAATTTTGAATACATTTTATGTCGACATAATGAAATTGATCACATAGAAAACTCCATTCTTACTTAGGGATATATTCTTAAAGATCGCCCAGGTCGAGCATTACGACGACTAGATACGGCCGTTTACGATGAGGTATACGCCGAATTCACGACCGTATACGGGCCGTATTTTAACGTTTTGGTATACGCCGTATATCGCCGTGTCGTTTACGGCAGTACACACCAACCGTTTCGAACCCGTGTCCGACCGTATACGGCCGTAATTCTGAAGAAAAAAAAATACATTCCTAAACCCCTCTCATCAATAGTGCGCACACTACAGACATCAATTCTACTACATTTCCATAGGAATCACTCTAACCAAATGCAAGCAGCAAAAAAGATCTACTCCAAATGACACAATAATAAGACTAATCATACTTCCAACAAATCTTGTCGGAGCACTCTCTATAACCTAACATGCTCGCCGCATCTGAAGTAAACTCCATATGATTTTCCGCGTATCCTGCAACAGGGATCATGAGAAATCTGAAAAATACAAAAAGCATCAAAGGAATCCTGCAAAAACCACCTTTTGAAGGAAGCATCGTTGAGAATCGTGGAAAGCAGCATTCGATAGCCAGCATCAAGGGATCCATATTGGGTGATTTCTGCTTTATCCTGCAACAAGGATAGTGAGAAATCTGAAAAATACAAAAAGCATCAAAGAAATCCTGCTAAGATCACCTTTTGAACGTAGGATTAGTGAAGATGATGTCAAAAAATACCAAAAATTTGATATAGGGTAATAAAAATAATAGCATGCTTGGAAATGGTTGAAAAATTTAGAAGAATGAGCGATATCTCCTTTATGTTTGTTACGGAATTGGATCCTTCCGATCGTAGATGTACCTATAAAGATTGTTTTTTTCTTATTTTAGTGGATTTCTTCAGTAGCGTAGAACAAGAATTCGATATAGGAATATGTTCAGTATGGATTAGCTTCAAAGTTTATCTCGGTTGCAAGGGAAAACGATGTTTTTGTTCGATTTAGTCGGAAAGGTCAAGTGGAATTTCAAAGTCTGCTAGATATAAGGCTTCTAGAGATTATTGGGAATCTATCTATACTACTATTTGTGGTGAAGATGTATAGGAATTCTTGTATGTTGTACATTCTGGCAGTGCAGTTTCTGATCTGCTGCTGAAATCGTGAAAAAAGACTTGATGCTGAAATCAGTTTTGCTCAAAGTCTGGTTTTTGATAGAAACCGGCTTTGGCGAACTTCAGATTCACCGCGACACTGGATTGAAGGAGCTTGATGTAAATGAATTTGAAAAGTTTTGGAGGTTGAGAAATGATTTCGTGGACTTAGTAATATTTACTTAAGAGGGGGCACGTCATGTCTTCTGTCCTTGCCCATAACGTTTTTAGATGGTGAAATCCTGCTTTTGGATTTCTGAGTAAAAGTGTTCCGGAATTGGCGAAGTTTGTGGCAAATGCGCTATTCATGATACTTCTACTCGATAAATGATTTCCTGGGCTCTCTACGTCAAAGTGCTAAGGCAGGGCAGCTCATGTCTTTCTGTCTTTACACATAACGTTTAGATGCTGAAATCCTGCTTTTGGACTTTTGAGTAAAAGTGATCCGTAAATGATTGGCTTTGTCGCCGATGCTCTATTAAAGATGGAAATAGATGATTCATGAAACTTCTTTTGATAAATGATGAAAGACTGAAGAATCCGGAAAATGTGTCAGAAATCACAAGGAGAAATCATAGAAATAATAAAGGAGCACTGATATTCTTGTGGTGTATAGAGTTTTGGTTTCTGAATAATTTTTTTGTATAATTGTGTTGATAGAGAGTAAGCTATAACGTTATTCAATATAGTAGCCAGACCTTGCATCACTTTTGCGCTGCAACATTGACAATGATTTATCAGTTCAGGCAGTACTTCTTGATGTTTCTATGATTTTTTCTTCTTAACTATTCAAGTTTCGAGTAGGGGATATGCCTGACGCAACAGGCTTGTACAAATAGTGAGACTCTTCACGATAAAACGATTGACGGATGTTGTTGTCATATAAGCTGGGATGAATTATATCCATAGTAAGCTCTATAGTTCGTGATTTATGAGCTGATTTATGAGAATGTTCCGGGGTATTTCAGAACTTCACCACCGAATTTCGGAGTTTTCTGCACAATAGAGAGTTCTGGCTGTGTTATGGTTTATTTTGATATTGTACCTGTATATTCCCCGTGATAAAAACTGAGAAAAAAATAGCATTTAAATGATTTTGCTGACATAAAAAGTGATGAAAATTAAAATATTTCTGTCTGATGGAGAATCAAATTGATATCAAAACTAGTTAAATTTCTGATGACAGATTTAATCAGATTGTTCGATTTTTGAAGGTTTGTATCCTACTAATATGAGATTTCTTTCATTAAGATCTGTTCAATTTTTTCTTGGAATTAATTGTGTTGATTTCTGATTAAAAATCGGATTTCAGTTGATGTAATGTTCAAAATTTATACTAACTCGATTATTTTTTGAAAAAAGATACTTGAAGAAATATAAGATTGTGATACCCTCTTGATAGAAAAAATCGTGATTTTCGCACGTTCGTGAAGTTAGCATCGTATTCGAGTGAAACCTTTCTGTATTGTTTTGAGCTATCGTTCCAACACGCATACTCATGTTCCGAGTAGAATTTCTTATGCTCTATCGAATGGTATATTTGGATTAACTTGATGTCGACGCGTTCTCCTGAATTTTCGAAAAAATCCAAAAAATCCTAGAATTTGTTTTGTAAAATCAGATTTTTTATCTTGCTGAAAATGGTCCCAAAAATCTCTAAATACTGTTTTTGTATACTCAAAAAGTGAGTACACTACTAAAATCGGTCAGTGTGTCCGTCCGTCCTTCCGTTAATTCGATAACTCTTCACAATTACATTCGATTGATTTAAAATTTTGTGCACACAATTATCTTGACAATATCTAGGTCGAGTTCGAAGATGAGAAGGATTCGTCAAGAAATGACTGAGTTATCAAAAAAATGATCACTTTTTATCAGACTATCCCTGAGAGGGAGTACAGGGATTTTTTCAAAAAAAAACTTTTTTCAGTATCATTCACAACATACATGAATCGACTCAGTTTTTGCAGTACACATAACAATTGGATGCAAATCCGATGTTTCCACATTTATTTTCTTATGAAATTCTAGCACCATACTCGCCAAAGTCGTTGTTCTGAGTACTCACTCATGATCGTAACACAACTTGAGTAGATCTATTCAATGATTTCGGCAGATTTTTCATAGCTCGAAGTAGGATCTTCTGAGATTTCTTCAGTATTATCTTATCAGTGGGTGAAGTCTAATTTCGAGCTACGGAAAATATGTGAACATGACTGGATAGTGTTCATCGAGTTCCACTTGGAGCATAGGTACGAGAATTGGAACATTGGTCGAAGTGACTATGGCCGAATTTTACAAAAAAAAGCATTTCAGGATTTTTTGGATTTTTCGAGATTCCAGGAGAATGGTGCAAGTCTAGTTAATCGAAATATACTATTCGGTAGGATATACGAGGTTCTACTAGTAATATGAGTATGGACGTTGGAAAACTAGCTCTAAAGAGCATCGAAAGGTTTACTCGAATGCGATGCTAACTTCACCTACCAGATGGTCACTTAATACTTCTTACTGAGATAGCTTGAGTAAACTACAATCTAAAAAATGCTACTATACTTTAAGCGAGCAGCTAGTCATCGTAAACGACCGTTTACTGTGATACCCGATAGTCGTTTACGGTTAGCGCTTAGTTACGATGGCCGTTCACGGAGATTTTTCACGGCCCTCGTTTACGACGATCGTATTTCATCGTATAACTTCGTTTACGGCAACAGTAAACGACTAAAAGATACGGTCGCCGTTTTTCACCGTGAATGATAGGTATACGGCCGTTTACGGCTCAGGTTGATCGACCTGGGTATTGTGCGAATTGATTATTATACTTTTCTAATCGATTTTTATTGATTATAATCAAAATTTTCAGTTGGATTATTCTGCAACAAAATCAAAATACTGACCGATTATAATTGAAATTATAATCGATTTTAATCGTTGAAATTTTTCACTGGATAGTTACTATAGTTGTCCCTGTTGGTCTCGGGATGACAATCACTGTTAATGTTAATGCTGCTGGGCCTGATGCAAGTATTGAAAAGGTTCCCGTGACACCTGTACTATAAGTTGTGGCAACCAGAATGTAGGTAACATCAGACGTAAGATAATAGGTAAATTCGAACTGCGCAGTCCCACCAAGATCACCATTAGAAATAAGTAAGTTTAAGGCTGGTGTTGATGCAACAAAGCTGTTGTTATATAGATAACCATAGGCGATCATGTTGCTACTGCATGCGAAACTATAAGAGCCTGTTCTGGAAACTGTAACTTGAACAGTTTTATAGTAGTAATTTCCTGACGAAACGCCATAGCGGGTATATGTTTGATCGCTGATTGTCAATGCACTTGAAATGGTCGTAGAAACTTAATTACAAAAAAGTATTCAAATAATGGTATTGGTGTGGAGGAAGAACGTTATCAGTATAATGCATAAGCAAATCATATGTAAACATGGCGAGAAAACGCAGCTATCTATATTAAAGCTTTTTTTTTAATGAGCTATGCTAGGGGCCGGTTTTGCAATTGGTGATTGTTCCTTTGTGTGACAATTTATTGCAAAAAGACTTTCTCTCCCGTAGTATTAATCGATTCTCTGAAAAAAATAGGTGTCATATGGAACCATTTATGGTTCTAGCCAAGATACTGAATCTTGTAAGGTTTCACTCGCTCATTAATAAACCATCGAAGGTTCTAGCTAATTTAAAGAATCATCTCATATCCTTAATAGTTCCGGATGTTTGAAAAGGTTCCGTCCTGCACCATTTTTTTAATGCTGAACCATTTTTCCAAAGATGGTTCTGGCTTGAAGCAAGATACTATATTTTGGGAACGTGATTTAAGTAATATAAATCTCAAACACCCAGATCGAACAATCAGATTCTTCAAAGATCGTATTAATGTGTAAGATCATTTAAGAATCTGACTGTCCGAACTGATCTAAAATCTCAGGAACTACGATTTTTTGTCAGATTCTTGTAAGATTTCGCTCGTCTTCCAGATCTTGTGTCAGATTTATCGACCTGGATAGTTATGTCTCCAAAATCAATTTGTGACTATTCTTTTATCTTTTTCGATATGTCACATGTATGAATAGACAGGTAATGTCAATCTGATAAAATAAATTCAACATTTTCTGTAGTTAGGTGTATGTATGAATAATCAATTCAAATGCAAGTTTAATATGATACAATGAATTAGCGTTTTTTTAATATTTTAGGTATATGTGAATAATTTATTTAATAGTCAGTTGAATCTTACAATGTAAGTCACTGTGCTTTTTTGTTTAGGATCGTCTCAACAACAACTAACGACCATGTTGCTTTCGTGCGAATAACGGAGAAAGTACTAGCTCGTATTCTACTCACAACAAATCTAGGTAAATATAACACATAGAATTAATGGTTAAGGTTAGGAGCAAGGGATTAAGTATGAAATTACCGGTTGAATAAAACCTTAGTCTGGAATACTAGACTAATTGAGTGTGGTGGGCTACATTTTACTACTCTAGAACCATTTTTGGAAGAAATAGGAAAAGGTTCCAGCTAGAACCAGATTTTGCTTGAACCTTAAATGGTTCTGGAAAGGGTACCCAAATCTAGAACCTTAAAAGGTTCAGTATGACACTTTTTTGTTTTCTGAGTTGTAACAACGGTTGATGTAAATAAAACATCTATGTTTGCTTTTCATACAAGTTACTTATTGCACACTGACATCGTTAACGTTCTAAATATTTACTCCGCTGCTGGTACGGAATTCACTTTTTTTAAAATCTGTGATGTCAATAGAAAATATATATACTATAGATAATAGAGAATGGAAATAAATTTGTCGAAAACTAAAATTCAAACTATTCAGTTTTATTTTGGTAGCATAAACTGATAATGGAACGACTTGATAAAATATGCTAATTCTGTTATAATGCATTTTCACTAAACATAAATGCTTTGATGTGTGCTGCCTGTTAGCGTCAGTAGATGACACTTACCGACACTAAACGTTTCTTCATATGATCTGTTGCTATGATCTCTGCTTTGATTTTTTACGTAATATTTCAACTATGACTCATCCTCGTGATTGATTTTTCGTTCGCTATTACGCAGCTGTTGGTTTTTCCTCTTCCCGGTTATATTCATTCAGTGTTATTATTATTATTATCATCTTCTATATTATTATATTCTTCACTGATGATTATTGTTATCTTTCTGCATTAGGAAATAAAATATATTATTCTATTAAATATATGCACATGCTACTACAACAAAATACGATAGACAGTCTATGTAAACTCTCTAATTGTTTAGCAGACTAACTATTAGCACTACTATTATACATTCCCCAAACGAGAGACCTTACACTACCTCACAAAATTATTCTTCGACATGAATAGAAGATATTCAATTTATCATTAAAATTCTTTTAGTATCAACTATTGTGAAACAGAAACCATAACACACAAGAAATCAAAAAAGTGCTTACAGACTGTTACAATAGTCGATAAAAATTTCTCTATCCGATTGAATTTGTTAGGTTGTTTACTTTTTCTAATAGTAGCTCTGAGTTAGTCATTGAATATCCCCTCGAGATGATACACACAAATACAAGACGGTCACTTTTTGAAAAATTGTCCTCAACATGGTTGAATACAACTATACCAGCAATACTAGATAGATAATAAAATTGGTTCTACTATTGTTATTTAAAATGGTTTTAGAAGTGAAGACAATCTATCAACCTGCGAAATTCTCAACGGTACGGTAATGCGAAGAAAACTACGTAAATGTTCATCATATTTAGCGGAAAACTGTTTGAGTCGGGTCTACAAACCTATTAAGGAGCTTGTCGTTATTGTTGATTGCGATGTTGTTGTTGGTGGTGTACGTGTCTCTGTACTTGTTGCTGCTGCTGCTACAATGAACAGTATTAACTTCCTAATAGTAAATTAATTAAATATTCATCGGTTTGAAACATCTGATTCAGACACTTAGTAATTTTTAGCTTTAAAAAAGTAGAGGCTCTCAACTGTTTTGAAATGATCATTACTTTAAAAAAGCTAATGGTTCGTTCATCATTATTAGGGTGTGGGTGTGGCGAAGACCACTACCCCCGCCAACAACCCATAGCACTGGCTAGCACCGATGAGACTCTTATTATGCATAGATTCATTGTTGAGAGAATGACTTATTGGTCAGTCTTCGACACAGCAGACACCACGCGATTGCTATATAACATTCAAATATCATGCATTCTCAATCGGAGTTATTTGAATAGCTTGCTGCTCGCGCTACACATGTCAAAGTTTAAAATTCCAAATCAACTGATATTTTCTGTTTCGTACGATACATGTGAATGCAATCGCTTGATATATCAGTATTCTTACCTGATACCCAGACAAAGCATCTAGAAATTCGAACCAAATAGATTTTATAAATATAGTTCTTTGCAAAATCTGAGTAACTTACAGCAGTATAACTAACACTGTTCGCATGCTGATGCTTTTATTGATGATTGCCAGCGAAAACAATCAAATGATTTTATGCTTCTTAATATAGTTGCTGTCGTCAAAAGAATTTTCAAAAACATTGGGCGTCATCCACTTTCTCACGAGCTATTTTTCCTCATGTCTGATTTTTTGATAAAAACAAACATTTTCGTAAGTGCATAGCGACAAGCAAGAAACATTGCTTGCTTGCTTGCTTCTCTAGTTTGTCAATGCGGATAAGGTGGTGTTGAGTCGGGTATGATGCTCTTTACTGTGTGAGAATTCGGTGGTGTGGCTGTTAATGTTCTACATTTATCAACGCCCACACCCACCCTCTGCATTAGCAGATAAATTCGCTTGGTAGTTTGACAGTATTTCACAACTGTATTCTTCAATTTCATATATTTGAATATTTTATCTCAAAGAGTCAGAAGTAATTACCAATAGAATCTTTAGCTAATTTAAGTGTATGTGAGACTATTTTGACAGAAAATACCATTGAATCATAATTAATGTGAGCACTGTTTAACTGGAAAAGATCGTAGATTGATTTTTGTACATCACTCAATTAGATCTCACTGAGAGAAAATGCATTGGAAAAAAGCACTCCTTGAATCTAAAAATATACACAGATATTTACATTTTTTGACAATAAGCAATTAAATACATTTTAAAAACAATTAGATAGCAATTACTAAATTGTCACCCTGGTGACTACGCCACTGCTTGTATAACTCGACAAGGACTACAAGGCTCTCTCAGTTAAACGTTACCAGCAAAAATTTAATGTAAAAGTAGGTGAACTTGTGTCAAACTACGCATTTGTGTTCAGAAGAGCACGTACATGTTGTCGTTGTCGACAGAGAAGATTGCATTACTCATGATTAAAAAGGTGCTGAAAACAAATAAGTACATTTTTTTGCAAAACTGTCAGGAAAAAGCAGTTTCTTTCTATTGTTGTAACACATTTTTGATCAATGATTGTTCTATTGTGCAGTTTCGTATTTTGAAATTTTGCTTGTTGAATCTGTTTACATGTTAGTTTCGCTATTGACAATAAATTTTTGTAAATTGCTGATTTTGTACATGCAAATTTTAAAAACCAACTCTATCTGACGGCATTCCATTGATACATGACTAAATATAATATATTTTCGAAGAAAATAGGAAGCTAAATTTTTCGTCACCCCCATCCGAAGCTTTCACCATTACAGACATAATCAATCTCAGTAAAAAGAATTGAACTTAATCAACAACATGAGGATGACTGTTATAGAGAAATTTAGAATGTTCCTTTAAAGTCTTTGTCGAACCTTGAATGACTAGAATTGGTTTTTGAATATTTAAAATAATGTAGATTTCGATTTTTATTCAGATAAAAATATCCCTCTAATATATCAACGATAATGAGCATTGATACATCGATTTTCCACATTTTTCATGTTGATCAACATGAGAAAAAAGTGATTTAATCAATTTATAACTTCGAAAAATAAACTGTCTCCATTTATAAGTTGATTGCGATTTATAAACTATAATAGGACATTGAAGCTTGCTATAAGTATAATAGACATGTACAAGTCTTCTTTGCCAGTTAAGTCAATGATACGAATATGATAAATAACGAGGAGATAGTAACAATATGAGACAGAAATAAAACCCGAAAAAAAGTTCTCTTCGAAATGTTGAAATAAAT